GAGGCCTATTGTTGATTTACTGTTTTCATTATACTATAATAACCGTACTGATGGACTGTTAATTATAAGTTTATGCATTTGAACCGTTAAGTGTGTGTTAGATATTTAGAAATGCATATGAGTTTAGTTGAGTATTCGTTGTAATAATTCCATACTGGACTAACAGAATAGTTTCTATTAATTTAGTTAATTTTCGATTTTCCTAGATCCGTATAAATGGTATTTTCAAGCTGTGATTAATTAGGCTGTAGACTGTTAAAGTAGTGTGATACTTCTTCTGATCATGGGAGCTTTATATTTAGTAGTGATGATGTGAGTTAATCTATAATTCTGAGTTTGAGTGGTTGTGTGTGGGTTCGAAATCAGAAAGTTAAAAGTAGATATGAGATATGTAATTCGTAAGGTTAATTTAGGCAATCCATTTTCGTCCAGCATCCTTAATTCTCGAGTTTCAATTCTCATATGTGGTCACGTTAGTGTTTAATCAAAGTTCATGAGTCAGCATTTTAATAAAAATGAGTCATAGTAGGGAATTTGAAATTTGAACTAGTATGCATCATGTTTGAAAATTGTGATCATAGGCAGTTTACGTGGGTCATAAAATCTGAAATCAGTTGCTTTCCAACTCATGTTTAATGTTGCATTGAATTTATTTTACTGGCTAGTTAATTTTAGTAGTAGATTCATCAGATTTGTGTTCTTAATTAAATTGAAATTCCATTTAGTGTAAAAGACAGGGCTTAACAGGCTAGTCCCTAAACGTTTGGGCCTCAGGATAATTGATGCACGAACCAGGCCAGTTTTGGCCCCTTTATCATTTAGGCCTGGGCCAAGGTCTGTTTTGGCCGATTTTATGGTGTATATCTAGTTTTAAATTCCCTCTGCTGGGCTCACATTGGAGCCCAATGGTCGGATGTTGGTGCAAATATTACTTAGTTTGCATCAGTCCAGTAACAAATTAATTAGGGCCTTTCTTTTATTTTAGAGACAAATTAAGTAGAAAACTATAGATTGCTCTAGGTTTGCACTTTAAAATAATAAAACGGGATGAGCCTCGCTAAACAAAACACATAAATTGCGGGGCCCTCGATAATTGTATATATTAAAATACTTAGATTTCGGGACGGGCCGTTTAGCGAATTTCACGGCCTTCCCCAAAATAATAACGCGTTAGTCTCTTTAGGCGCGTATTTTAATAACATTACCTCCCTAAACTCGGGTGCGCATTTATGTGACCCAAATCCAAATCCCAACGATGTTAAAGTATGTCCAAAAACCACAAGTGCATTTATGTGACGTGGTTCAAGACTTGTTTTAATGACGTTGCAATTTTCTTTAAAAATGAATAAAAGCGGTTAAGGTTAAAATTTGCACATAGGTTCATAATTGTTAAGATCAGATAATTTAAACCAAATATAACAGTTGAGCGACCGTGCTAGAGCCATGAAACTCGGGAATGTCTAACACCTTCTCCCGGGTTAACAGAATTCCTTACTCAGATTTCTGGTTCACGGACTGTAATACATAGTCAATCTTTTCCTCGATTCAGGATTCAACCGGTGAGTTGGGACACCATAAATCTCCCAAGTGGCGACTCTAAATCTTTAATAATAAATCCCGCTTCGATTGTCCTTTAATTGGAAAAACTCCCTTATGCCCTTGCGGGTGTAGATAAAAAGGGGTGTAACAGAAACGACATATGATATTTTTCCATATGAAGGCGATGACTTCCTATTCGCATATTTGGGCGAACACACCTGCTTCCACCTATTTGGAAAAGTAGTCAATTAAAACTAAAAGGAAACGTGTCTTACCTCGATCCATCGGGAGAGGTCTGACAATGTCCATTCCCCATTTGATGAATGGCCATGGCGAGGTGACGAAGTGTAGGAGCTCGCCTGCTTGGTGTATCATTGGTGCGTACTTTTGTAATTACTCGCACTTCTCGACGTACTCTGCTGCTTCTGTTTTCATAGTGGGCCAGTAGTATTCTTACCGAATAAGGCATCTGACGAGGGACCGATTGCCTGTGTGGGCACCACAATGACCTTCATATACTTCCTTGAGAACACACCTTGTTTGATTTGATCCCAGGTATTTGGCCAAAGGGCCTCCAAACGTCCTTTTGTAAAGATCGTTGTTTATGAGACTGTAGTTGGCTGCCTGCATTTGAAGCTTTTTGGCTTCTTTTTTATTTTGTGGGAGTGTTCCTTCCTGCAAGTATGTCATGATACGGTTGCGCCAATCCCAAGTTAAATTTATAGAATGTACCTCTACTTGGTCTATTGACGAGTGGAAGAGGGTGACCTTTTTTTCCTTGGTGATGTTTTTGGTTGCTATTGCTAGTTTGGAAAGGCCATCTGCTTCGATGTTCTGTGCCCGCGGTATCTAATCAAGTTGGCATTCGTCGAATTCTGGCAGCAGCTTATGGATTTCTGCTTGGTATTTCTGTAGCCTTTGTTCCTTGATTTAGAAAGTCCCAGTAACTTGATTAATGATGAGTTGTGAGTCGCACATGAGGATGACTCGTCGTGCACTATACTTGAGGGCCAGTTTCAATCCTGCAATTACGACCTCATACTCGGCCTCGTTGTTAGTCATATCGTGGCACCGTATGAACTAACGAATTACTTTGCCCGTGGGGACTTCGAGTACGAGTCCCAGTCCAGATCCCGACGCATTAGATATGCCGTCGGTATAGAGGACCCAATGGTCAGGTTGTTCAGAAGAGGTGCGGAGCGCTTCTTGCTCGACCTTGGGCAACATTTCGGCACTAAAATCGACGACGAAGTCGGTGAGTACCTGCGATTTTATCATTGTTTGCGGCTGATAGGTGATATCATGCTCGCTTAATTCTATGGCCCATTTAGCCAATCTTCTCGACATCTCGGGCTTATGCAAGATACTTCTAAGGGGAAAAGTCGTCACCACCGAGATGGGGTGACACTGAAAATATGGTCTATGCTTTCAGGAAGCTACGACCAACGCTAGAGCCAGTTTCTTGAGGTGAGGGTACCTCGTTTCGGTGTCAATCAAGGTTTTGCTAAAATAATAAATTGGGGATTGTGTACCTTTGTTTTCGCGGACTAGAACTGCACTCACTACGACCTCTAAAACGGCTAGGTAGATCAGAAGGCGTTCGTCGGGGTCTGCTTTAGCGAGTAGTGGCGGTGAGGACAAGTACGCTTTTAACTTTCTTAGGGCCTCGATGCAACCTGAATTCTACTGAATCCCATTGTCCTTCCTCAGTACGTTAAAGAATTTATGGCATCTATCGGATGATCACGAGATATACCTTGACAGGGCGGCTATCTGGCCCATCAATTTTTGCTGGTTAGTATTTCGAGTATTCCTTCGATGGCTTTGATCTGGTCTANGAATTTATGGCATCTGTCGGACGACCGTGAGATAAACCTTGATAGGGCGGCTATCCGACCCGTCAATTTTTGCACATGTTTTTTGCTAGTTAGTATTTCGGGTATTCCTTCGACGGCTTTGATCTGGTCTGGATTGACCTTGATACCTCTCTGTGATACAAAGAAACCGAGGAATTTTCCTGAGATTACGCCGAAGGTGCATTTTTCGAGATTTAGCTTCATTCCATACCGCCTTAATATGCTGAAGGCTTTTGTAAGGTGGTAAATGTGGTCCTATTTCTTTTTGAATTTGACCAGCAACCTCCATCGTCTTGCCGAGTTGGTTTTAAAATATTTTGGTGACCAATCTCTGGTATATTGCCCCCACATTTTTCAACTAGAATGGCATGACTCTGTAGCAGTATGTTCTCTGCTGGGTGATGAAAGTGGTTTTTTCCTAGTCTTTTTCCTCCATGAGGATTTGGTTGTAACCCGAATATGTATCCAGAAAGCTTAGCAGTTCGTGCCCTGCTGTTGCATCGATGAGTTGGTCGATATGGGGCAATGGAAAAGAATCTTCCGAGCAGGCCTTATTTTGGTCTGTGAAATCAACGCACATCCGCCATTTTCTATTTTTCTTTTTTACCATGACTACATTCGCGACCCATTGGGGATATTTTGATTCTCGGATAGAACCATTAATGAGTAGCTCATTGACTTCAGCACTGACAGCCTCATTTATTGTGGCATTCAATTTTCTTCTCATCTGTCGCACCGACGGATATAATGGGTCGACGTTCAGCTTATGCATGGCGATGTCTTTCGGAATGCCTGGCATATCTGAATGGGAAACGACAAACATGTCGGCATTGTTAGCTAAAAATTTATGGAATATACCTGGTTCTAAGAGGTTGTGTCCGATATAGGCCTTTTTTGTGCTATCATTGCTGTCTAATTAGATGGGGTCGAGATCCTCGATGGTCGACTCGGTAGCCTCTACGATGTAAGGATCTTTAATAACGTCTGTCTGTGCATCGGGTTTGGTTCCCGATGCTGCTAATTACTATGCTTCTGCGTTTGCTCCCTTTAGTTGTTGGGTGTGTGCACAATCTTGGGCGATGCGATAACATTCTTGCGCGGTGCGTTGTTCGCCTCGTATGCTGAATATTCCCCATGGAGTAGGGAACTTGATTACCTGGTAGAGGCTTGACCGGATGGCTCGCATGGCGTGTATCCATGGTCGCCCTATAATGGCGTTGTAAGCTGTGCCTTGGTCCATGATGTGAAACGTTGTTTCCAGGGTGACTCCCCCGGCTAGGATGGGTAGCATTATTTCTCCTGAAGTTCGTTTGACTGCATTATTAAAACCCGTCAGTTTTATGCAATGCAGTATTATTTTACCTTCGAGCCCCATATGTACGAGGACTCGAGGATGGATAATACACGCGCCGCTTCCGTCGTCTACCATTATTCTTTTCACATCAGTATCCGCAACACGTAAAGTAATAACTAAAGAATCATAGTAAGGGGAAGACAAACCGTCAGTATCTAACTTATCAAAGACGATAATATCTTCGAGGTTGTCATACCGTTCGTGAGTGATCGACCGTTTGAGTTTGTGTGCAGTGTTGAATTTCACATGGTTGATTGCTGTCTCGTCACCTCCACCAATGATCATTTGTATGGTGCGAGCTGGAGAAGGCGGTTTTGGAGGTCCCTGGTGTTGCTTGCGTCCAAGGGCGAAATTGGCTCGACCTCAGTAGCTCATCAGTTCTCTCAGGTGTCCCTGATTTAGCATCCTCACCACATCCTGCCACAGACCTATGCACTCCTCGGTTTTATGACCTCATTCCTGGTGAAATTCGCAGAGGGTATTTGATTTCCGAGTGCTTGGATTAGACCACATCTTTTGTGGCCATTTTACCTTCATGTCGAGCTTCTCTAGTGTGTACACTATTTCTGAAGGAGAAATACATAAATTGTGAGCAGATAAAAGTGGAGGCATACCTCTTTCATTTCGTTGTGCTGTGGTATGTCGAGGAGGGCCATTCGTGTGCCACGGGGGGTGTTTATGGTTCCTCTGATATAGGGCTGATGTCTCTCAACCGAGACGAGGACCCAATTGGTCCCTTCGACCATCATTGCATCGATCTTTCCTTGCCTCTGCTTGAATTGATGTCAGCTGTTGGATCGGGCCATTAAGATTATCCTCGTCGGCTCTCACCTTGGCACAATAGGCGTTGTGAATATTTTCCCAAGTGGTGCGAGGATATTTCATGAGTCTGCTTACTAGCTTTCTGGTTGCTCTTGACCCGTTTCTGCTCAATCCGTTCTGAAAGGCTGCTACCGACATCCCTTCCGATACATTCGGTAGTCTCATTGTCGCCTTGTTAAACCAAGCTAGGAAGTCCCTAAATCCCTCGCCAGGTGTCTGCCTGACGGTGAATATGTCGTTAACCCTGGCTTTCACCTTTTTGGCCCCTACATGAGCGGTGACAAACTTGTCTGCCATTTCTTCGAACATTGCTATTGATCGTGCCGGCAGTTGTGAGTACCAAGTTAGGGCTCCCCGTTAGAGTTTCGCCAAACTTTTTCAGTAGCACCGACAGTACTTGCTCTCTCGAAAGATCGTTGCCTTTCACCGCTGTGACGTAGTGAATGATATGATCTTCTAGGTCTATAGTACCATCGTATATCTTCAGGTACGGTGGCATTTTGAAGGTTTTGGGAATGGCATGGGGTACTGCTTACTCATTGTATTGTTGTTCGATGAATCGGCCAACGTCTCGTTTTGGTAACAACTTTGGGGCGCCTGGTATCTTATCAACCCTTTCTTGATGCTCTTTCATCTGGTCACAGAGCACCTTATTTTCGTTTTCCATTTCCTCCACTTTCTTTAGAATGGTTGTGAATGCGTCACTACCTGCATCAACAATAGTATGAGTGTTACCAGTTCGGGGGACATCTTGCTCGTCGGTGTCTATCATGATTTCTACGTGCGCAGCGTCCCTGTTCTCCCTTTTGGGTGGGTTTGTCAAGTATGTTGTTCTGAGTGCTTGTTAGCCATTCTTCCAGTAACCTTTTCACCACTGGTGGTGCCTCTTCTGTTAATGATGTGGAGGCTTCCTTTTCACGCGAAGCAGTAACGCTTTCGCAGGGGGGAGGTGAAGCATTTCGCCTAAGCGTAGTGCTTGGCGTCACGTTTTCATTGTCCTCCCTGTTGTCTTCGTTGATAGTATTCAGAATGTTGGCGGTGACATCTGCTATCGCTTTCAATCTCGCATCTCCTTTCCCTGCCATTGTTAGTTTATGCAAAGCTAGGAAAACATGGTTATGTATCCCTTTCTATGATCTAGATGAAACTTCGATTTCAACTAAAGAAATTCCCATAGACGGCGTCAAATTGTTTGACGAAAAGATGTCAAAACCTTTATGATTAAAATAAATAATGATAAAGATGAGGTCAATCTTAGTTAAACAAAATAAAATCTAGACCAAGCGATGAAGAGAGTAAGCAAGATGAATGATGTAACAAATATATTGGAATCGAGTGAATGCTCATGAATGTGAAGACTTAAATGCACAATCAAGCTTGAAAGGCGCAATCAACGTTAAAGGGGGAATAAATATGAGATGATTGGGGAATTTCTTTATCTTCTCAGATGAACAAGACTGCTTTTGTATTCACTCTAAGAGGATTCTTTTACAAAGTGTTCTTTGGTCTTTTTTCCTGTGTCTCCTTTTTTTTTACTCACCCTTCTTATTTATAAGGGACAATCTCCCAAAAAATCCTAGAAAGTACAACATAGAGAATATTCGAAAGGCATATGCTTTGTCTCCCGCTAAGTTTACACTATCGTGGATGTCATGCATCGACGGACCGCCCTCAATCGTTGACTTTCACCACGACAACCACCAGACGATGCATCATGATAACCTCGTTCCTTGTCCTACTTGGTAATGGTCGTGGTTACTAAATTTGGACCATACAGTTACTACAAAATAAAAACTTCTGAAAATAATTAGTACTTAGTTAACTAAATTGTGCCTCGACAAAAGTTACTTCCTTTGTTGCATGAAAGTGAAACCATTACTCTTTGGAAAGTTAAACATGTACATTTCTAATGTTTTAAATCATTAAAATATTAATGCCCGAAATAGACGAAAAATTAGATGGTTCAATAATTATATTTCGAACCGCTTCACTGTTTTCCAGTATGGAGGAAATATCATTTTTCAGTCAATTATCTGATATATAAAAGTTCTTTACAGTACTTGGTTATAGTTCTATAGAACCATCAGCAATACTCAGTAGTATTATTTTAATTGAACTCAATTACCCCCTAGCTAAGACAATGTTCTTCTTATCATACCAAATAAACAAGTTGCCCATTGAAAAGAATAACCAAAGAAATAAATAACAATTCGATGTATTATCTTCTAAAGTTCTAACTCTGCCAATGAAATTTCTTTTTAGTTGATCTCATTTAGAACTTTCCTGATCTTTTTTCATTTGGTGATGCTCCTTGGTAGCATTTTCTGTCAAAACTTATGCAGGAAACAAATTACTACCTAGTATTTTTTGCCTCCGTTGAAACTTGACTTCAAACCTCATAGTTCTCCTTCTATTTCATTAAACATTAGTACACATCTTGAATGCTACAAGCCTTTTTAACTGCTGCCTCTTACATCATAGAGGGAAAAGGACTCATTCATCATTAATCAGAGGTATCGAGTTCGATCCTCGGGTATGACCGGAATTGCTTTTATTAGGGAACATTTTATCCTCCAATGTGGATATGAAGTCACCTTGGTTAGGGAACGTTTTACTTCCCAATGTGAATATGGAGTCGCCTTTGGTAGAAAATATTTTATCCCCCAATTTGAAACTTCATTGCGCGAATTCGATTTAGTCGAATCCCAATATGGATACCAAACACCAGATGATCACGAAAAAAAAGATAGAGAGAAAAGGGACAGAGTGTGAAACAATGCAGAATTTATTAAGCACGCCAAATGAAAAAAAACAAGATGAATGGAATAGTAGTCACGAGCATGATTTAAGGTGATAAACAAAACCCTCAAATTTCTTAAACAAAGAGCCAATAAACAAAACAACACCTAGCGAAAAGTACCAATCTTGAGACCTCTTACATCCTCAATTAATCATTTGACTCACTCAAAGGATTTAGCACAGCTCCAACAAAAAGCACCGATCTTGAAACATCTTCCCTGATCATGAACAAGAAAGGATGATCTGCTACAAACCTTGGACGAGGTGGTGGCATATCATACAATGAAAATCCCAAGTCATCATCTGACTCGTAAGTAACAGCTGCTGCCTCAGTACCCTTCTCATTTACTTCCACAAATGCCTTTTGTAATATCCTATTGATAATGAATGGCCCTTCAGTTTCTACAATCCCAGTTATCTCTTCGCATTCGTCGTCAAAAGGTAGAGTCAATCCCATTTCCTGCATTGTTTCTTTCACTTCATCCACTACAATGTATGAGAATTTGAACTTTGGAATGTAGAGTGCATCAAGTTCTTCCTTCCGAAGTCTGTATTTTTTGGTAAAGAATTTTGGACAAGAATTCACTTTTGTCAATAAGTTAGGCAATCCATCTTTTTCTTTTGGAAGAAAAATATACATAGAAAACTCTTTCTTGTCTTTTCCAATTAAGTAAGGAATTTTAGCAACTTGAACACCTTCAAATGATCCATACAGAAAATCTTTGCAACCAGTCATAAATGGAACTGAAATTTTGTCACCGTTGAGTAGGTAAAAATCTTTGTTCCTGGTTTGTTGTTCGTCAAATATTTCTTTCCATGTACCTTTAAAATACAAGGCATTTGCAAAAAGGATCGTTGTATATTGGTTGAGGTACTCTGTCTTGAGAACTTCTGCGATGAGGCCTTTTGACAACGCTAGCCCATAAGTTAGCTTCTTTTACCACCTCTTCCTGCATAAAAATAAGCATTGAGTTTATTTCCTATGCACAAGTTCATAGATAAACTAACTCAATTTGTATATATGTAGGAAATAAATTACAGATCGGGATAAAGGGTGACATTGACACTATACTTAAGTGTATGGTCTAGCTATTAATATCTATTCTTATGTCTAAATTTTGGCCAGCAGAAATATTCTATACTTGTGCTTGTGGTTTAGACTATCCGCCCCAGACTATACTAGGTATATTATTGTTGTATATTACAAGGAAGGAGTTTAGACCATTCTTCCAATGTATCTGGACTATATATATAGTTCCATTAAGGATGGATAATTCTAGAATCTTAGTGGTTTGTTGGCATAATATAATGTCTACGCTAATTCAGAGAGTTAAGAATAACAAAAGTATCAATTGTGATTTATGTGAAAATACTCAAGTGATTATATACGTAACGGGAAACCAGACAATACAAAAGAAAATGGCGACGCACCTTTCGTTGAAAATCAACAGATTTAGCCTCAGTTTTATAGAGAGTATTGACTAATTCTTTGAAAGAGTCTTTCAATTCATGTGTATAAGACACCCATATTCCGCTAACGAAGCTCAAATCTGGACAATTACTATCCCTCTCACTGTTGCTCTCAAAAACAGCAGCCATTTTTAAGAAGTTGGAATTCAAATCATCGATATTTCTAACGCCAAGAAACTGAAGCATCTGATTTAATGTATCTCCTGTTGCTCCGGCGGCTGTCATGCTCAATACGGCGTGGAAAGATAGTGGAGACAACAATATGTTAATATACTCAGATTTATCACTTTTTTTAATTACCTCCTTTAGAAGAATTCGACCAGCAACCTGTGCACAAGAATCAATCTTCTCTTCTTTTCCTTGCGCCATTTTTTTTTTTTGGCAATCCGCTACGCAAGCGCCTAGGGCTAGTTTTTTTTATTAATAACAGAAAAGAAAAATACAACAATTAGAAAAAGTAGAAATAAGGGGATAATAACACCGATATTGTTATCCATATAACACAAACCGGGCTAAACCTTACCTTACTAATCCTATTGAGGCATAAAATAGCCTCACNATGCTCACCAAAAGATTGAGAGGGAATATCATACATCGATGTGTTCAAAATGACCAACGGTTGCTTGAACATAGGGTTGATATTCAACATCATTTCAATCTGTGATTCTTTGATAATTTTCTCCACTTGAGGATTGGAAAAATGCNGTAGAATAAAATGTTGTCCCTTCTTGTCCAAACTTGTAATTTCTTCAATTTGTAATTCTTTTTCATCACACTCCCAATTCTTCAAGAGTATTCAAAATTCATGATTTCTTTTTAGAACGATTGGACCTTGTTGATGTAGTTGGGGCGACCTGCTTTTGTTTGGCATTTCTCATTGGAGGTCGCCTAACATTTAAAAAATCACTAACCTTGTCGTCCCAACTATTTTTCCTTGTATGAGTCTTTTTACTTTTGCCGCTATGCCTTGGTGATATATCCCCTTTTCTTGATGCCTGTGCACGACATTCTTGTAACATTGCTTCTTCTTCTCCTTGTTCAAAAAATTCACTCCCCAAATTAACAGGTTGTGGAGAAACTTGAACGATATCGAGTGTCACTAAGGCATCTCCTCCTCGTGTCGTTGTCACGATTGTCTGACTTTGTTGTTGTCCTATGTTTTGCATTTTTTTCTTGCTCTTACTTACAGGACCAGTGCTAAGCGTAGCAGGATTTAAGGATTTTAGAGAAGTAGAGCTTACCATTGCATCCAAAAGTTTCCTCTCCTCCAATGAAATGAGTGGTTCAGTTGTTACAATTTGATTCTGCCCAGATTTTGGCACTACTGTTGCTTTTCGATCACCAGCAGAATATTCGCCTGAGCATTGTTGTTGTTGCACATTATCTCCTGTTGCCTTTTGACCCAAGTTTGTTGCTTCTGCATTTGCAGAAATTCTTGGAACAAAAGTTGGAGCATTATGGTTCAACTTGCTGTTGGGACTTGCTGCAGGTGCCGCAAGTGCATGACAATTCAATTGTTCTTGGGTGCTGCAGATTTCCCCTGAAACTTTGGCTTGACTGGAGCATCAATGTCCTCTCCTGCACTATCCTGATCACCCTCTTGGTCATCTTCTTCAGATGAAAAACCAGCAATTCCGTCACCCCAGCCCTCCTCATTATCATACTCTCGTTGGTCGTTCCACAGTTTCGAGTTAATAACCATCTCCCTCACCTTTGCTTGAATTATTTCTTTGTTATTGCCAGTGGAGATTGATGGTTGCCCAGATTCACCCCATGCTCACCAAAAGATTGAGAGGGAATATCATACATCGATGTGTTCAAAATGACCAACGGTTGCTTGAACATAGGGTTGATATTCAACATCATTTCAATCTGTGATTCTTTGATAATTTTCTCCACTTGAGGATTGGAAAAATGCAGCGTAGGAGTGCTGGTTCTGCCTTCCTTGTTACTGCTTGCAACTGGGACTATTTGCTGGCTAAAATGACTATCTTTTGAGTCATTCATTGTAGCACCATCTGTTGAAATTAGTTTCCCATCATCCACAGCTGCCAGAACTTCAAAGTTATTTGAGTTGGAGACACAGTTCGAAGCATTTTGTCGATCGCCTGCAGATTTTTGCCTGGGCGATACAACCTTCTTAGCAGGTGATTTTCTAGCAGAAATTATGTTCCATTTTTCACTTTTTCGTTTTTCTCATCACACTGATCAACCACCTCTTCATTACTAGCTTTAACTTTCAACTGCACATCCTTTTGCCCAGTCCATTTAAAGCCTAAGGTTTGGACTTCAGCATCTCTAAGCCCATCTATTTGTGCAGATGCACCAACACGATCACCAGCAGCCTTTTGGCATGTATCATTTGGCAAGATAGTTGCAGAGTTAGAAGCCTGTATAATTGGGTCACCACATGCTTTAAATTGCACAGACTCACCATCTCGATCAACATCTTCAACCTCAACCCCTTCAGCACTCTTTGAAATTCCAGTAAAAACCTGATTGCCTCCTTTATTTTGCACACCCTGCTGGTCTATACCATGTGTAGCTTAAAGTCGAACCTCCTATCTTTGAACACCTTCAGTTGATTTCCCATGCAAGCCAGCTGAATTCACATCATCATTAGTAGTTTGCACAATTGCAACACAATTAGCAATTTTATCATTATTAGCCTGCACAACATTGTGCACATCCTCTGAAATTCTATGTGTTTCAACTGGTATTTTATCATTATTAGCCATGTTTCTTTTTTATTAACAGGCCGTAGTTTTTTTTTAAATAAAGTTGCCCTGACAGACGTCTAGGTTGTGTTGTATTCAAAAAAGTGCAAGAGGGGGGCTAGACCTGACCTCACAAAAATACAACAATGGTGATACAATCACCCCAAAAGAAGGACAGGATGTTCATATATATACACCCTCCTTCCTTAGATCTATGAACAACATTAACTAACAAAGAAATTAGATTTTTCATACTTTGTCCTTATACTGGGAAGTTGCCATTTATCAAGGAGAAAGAGTCCTTTTGCATTGCTAGGCAATTCTTGGAGTGAGTGATACAACCTTCTCTAATTTGTGGTTGTAGCCAATTTAGCAAGACAATCCGCAACCTGATTCCCTTCTCTGAAACAGTGCCTGACCGTAGCTCTAGTTTGTTTAATGATGAGGGAGGCTCTGTCTATAACTTTTTTAATCTTCATGTTGTTAGGATTTCCATCCTTGAGCATATCCACTATGATCTTTGAGTCCAGTTCGATAGAGAAATTAGTGTACCCATTCTGACTGCACCATTTCCCTCCAAACTCTGCTGCTTTAGCCTCTGCCATGGTATGATCATCATAGCTGATATGAATAGAAAAAGCCGCAATAAAGTCCCCTTGACTGTTCCTGACCACCCCTCAAATGCCTGCCTTACCACTTTCTTTGCAAAAGCTTCCATCCGTATTAACTTTGATAGTGCCGGATAGTGGAGACTCCCATGTAACTTGTATCCATTTCTGATATGGTCTGAGTCTCTTGACCTTATCACATAATAAAGGCCATTCCATCTGAGTGTATTCACCTGATACCATGTTAGAGATAGCCGTTTTCAATGTCCATGTGATTTGGTGTCTCATCGAGTTCAGCTGAAACTTCTTTTGTTTTTCATATTTGCATGCATTTCTTTGTTTCCACAGTTCCCAGCATATGATTGTAGGAGCTATCCAAAGTATTTGATTATGTACTTTATTGTTGGCCGTTGTTTCCCACCATCTTTTTAAGGTAGCAATAATAGGCTCCTGCTGATGTTTGATTCCAAATGCATTACCTATGTTGTTCCATATGAAGATGGCAGCTTCACTACCATTAAAGATATGTTGAACTGTTTCTACCTGCGCAGAAGAACAACAAGAACATCAGGAAATAATGTTAGTACCAAATCTGCAAATAACATCATCAAAAGGTAACCTATTTTTGAAAATTCTCCAAGAGATAAAGGACATTTTAAAAGGGAGAGAGTTATGCCAGATTTTGTTTATGAAGATATTCTTCTGTTTCTTGAATCTAATAGAATGTCATGCTGAGTTTGAAGAAAATCTCCCATCATTAGAAGTAGTCCAAACCGGGAAATCATCCTCATTTGGGTCACCTATATCCAGTTGAGCAACACTATCCATAATATATACGGGAAGAACATCGTTGAGTTTGACAATATTCCATTCTTCATTAATTATGAAGTCTTTCACCTGTACTTTAGAGGATCTTCCACTACCTTGTAATATGTTGGCCAATGCACCTTTACCTGTCCAATTATCCCACAAAAGCTACAATTACCTTTATGTATTTACCATCTAATGTTTTTCTCTACTTTGTCTCTGATTTTGAGCATGTTTCTCCAAATATGAGAATCAGTGGGATTTGACTTTTTGTTCACTGGATGGGCTCTTTTGCAATATTTATTCTTGAGAAGGTTGGTCCATAGGGAGGGGTGAGTTCTGAATCTCCACCATCTTTTAATGTCAAGTGTATCTATGATATCCTCCATTTTTTTGACACCGGCTCCTTCCTCATCTTTGGGGAGACAAAGATTATTCCATGAAGACCAATGATATTTGTTTTTAACTTCATTTGTGCCCCAAAAGAAGTTTGCAAAGTGTTTCTCCATGAGCTTAGTAATTCCTTTAGGAGGGTTCATAGCAGAAATGATGTATGTGGGGATGGATTGTAAGACATGTTTAATCAAGATCATTCTCCCTCCAGAGGACATCATATTGGCTTGCCATCCATAAGTTTCTTGACCACCTTAGAGAGCATACCGTCAAAAAGATTGCTAGTCTTCCTCCCAAAATAAATGGGGCATCCCAGATAAGTGAAAGGGAAAGACTTATCCATATAGCCTGTAATATTCCTAATTCTATTGATTCTAGCAGCGCAGGTGTGAAGGACTGTAATAAAGAAGCTCTTATAGTTGTTAACTTTCTACCTAGAAGCCTTTCCATACCTGTCAATAGCCTTTTTGATTAACTTGAGAGTCATGTTATTTCCACCACAAAATATAACAATATCATCAACGTAAGCTAAATGATTGACCATCGGACCTCTCAGATCCATGCTAAAAGGAGTGAAGCCGATAAAGTCATTTAGAGCATTTAGAGATCTAGAAAGAACCTCAGCTCCAATAATAAACAAAGAATGGGATAAGGGATCTCCCTGTTTGAGGCCCTGAGTAGATGTGAAAAAACTTGTTCTAGCCCCATTGATGATGATAGAGTACCATATATCTTGTAGAAGTCCCTAGATCATGTCAATCCAATTCTCAGAGAAACGAAATTTCCTCATAACTGCTATCAGAAAGGTCCAGGAAATTCTATCATAAGCTTTTGCCATGTCAAG